GCTTTAACTGTTAACCGGACTTGTTACAGGTAATATAGATTGTATGTTTCGAAGTTTGATTAACTGTTGATTAATATTCGAATTACTAAATTTGTGTGTTTGCTTTCCTCTTACAATATCAGAACAGTAGGAACGAAACAAATATTTATCGGGGAGAGAAATTAAACTAGATAGAAATATACCCAAGCTACCCAAAATGAGGACAATGTTTACTATATCCGCCCACTCGTACAAAGTGAGGAAACCACCAAGTACTCACGATTGTACCAAAGTTCGGTAATAACGCACACAAGCCGGACTGTTCAATAATAAATCAACAGATAATTGAAACTGTGGTCTTCACTTCCTCATTACGCCGTAGTTTTTAAAGCGAGGGGAGTCGCCACCTGCGCATGCGTCAAATGGCCATAGCGTGTCATCGTTTACAAACAAGCGTCTACCCATGAGCCTTTGCGTTTTTAGCGTGTGTTGTTATCGTCGGTTGGGACTCAATTCCCGCGCGTGCACAGGTGACGACCCTCCCGCTTTAAATATATTACCATAAAATGTGATTATAAGTCACAACCTGTTGTAAAAGTTAGAGTTACCGAAACGTATTTATATCAATCGGTTTGTTGTAATTTGAACTTACAAGTCAGTCGACCTGGTTTGTTTATTTGACATTTTGTGATTGAAATCCCCACACATATACAATGCAATACGAACCTTAACTGTTTTATTTTTAACTTGTAGTTTGTATACATTTTTAATTATTCCAACTACTTCCGAGAATTGTTATGTATTAATAAAATTATTATAATTAATTTATATTAGTTATTATTACACGTTATCGCTACTGTAATATTTCCAGTCATATTTTGAGCTATGTACCGATATTCACTATATAAGGGCAGCCATCTTGGAACTTTAAAGTAAATAAAGAGACAAGTTGAGAAAAGGGTTTTGCAGATTCCTACAAATCAAGAAAAAACACAAATTTTCACAGTAGAACGATCCGTTTTAACAACACCAAGCCAAACGCTGACAAAATTCGACCGAATTCGTTGTTTTTGCGTGGAAATGCCGAAAACTTGCGAAGGTAAATTTTAGCAAAAATAATTATTGTGGGAATCGAAATTACAGGATAAAGGAGACGATCGATTAAGTCAAGGAAAGAGACTTTATTATATTATATCATGGAACTATAGTTCCATGATTATATAGACTACACGAATACTATACAGCTACTGCCGAATAAAGCGTGTGTTGAAAGTATACAGTTAGGCCGGAAGTTTGGGCTTACGTAACTTGTTACTGAATAGCCAATCAACTAACTCAATAATAATTAACTTAAGTACATAACGTATCTCTTTGTGGTTTCCGCAGTTCGATTGTGGTTCCGACATTACTCCCGGCCCGCAAGTGATTAAATTCGAAGTAAATATAAACAGAAATACTAAACGTAAGTGTAAAAAAAAAAAACACTGGGGTAAAGAATCGATCATAAACAAAATACGACATTATCCTAATACAACAATGTGGTAGAGAATCGATCAAAAAAAAAAAAAAAAAAAAAAAATACGACATTATACTAATACAACGATGTGGCTACAATCATGTCAAGTTCTACGTAAAATATCTTCAAATACTAGCATATAACAAATTCAACTAAAGATAAATATCCATTTACATAGGCAAATTGTCACACACACACAAAAAAAACTAACACAATTTCAGTTCGTTTAAGTCTGTTATTCTGCAACGAGCAACGGCGGTTAACGTATGTCTTTGTGGTTTCCGCAGTTCGATTGTGGTTCCGACAATTATGAAAATTTCATTTAATATATAACATACATTTCAGTTCAAAGCTTGTTATTTGCAATATACCAATTAGGCGAGACATGTATAAAAGGAGTAAACAGACATACTATGGGCCAGGGGGGCAGTTGATACATAGCGGGGTAGGGAGGTGTCCCTGAGTGCTTAAAAGTGTGACCATTTTCATACCTGGTTAGTGGCAAAATCTATACCCATGTTTATACCAAAGTACCATTTCTTTCATCACTGTTTATCCCAAATAAAACAGTTGCCTTTGCGTTTTTAGCATGTGTTGTTATCGTCGCCTGGGACTCAATCCCCGCGCATGCACCGGTGACGACCCTCCTGCTTTAAAATATGTAAAGCATGGTAAATACCTTTCATGGTTAAATAGCATGTGTGTGGAATCGATTGAAAATGTCCTTTGCCTTATGCGATTGGTAATGGACTATCCACCTTAGTGCACATTGTTTATAGACGTTCGTATAAAAGATAAAAGCTGATAATTTTCAAAATCCTAATTACAATAGACATTCGCGTATTGATATTTGTTTAACTGATATTCAAAAGGCTTAAAGGGATACAGGGTGCGTTATGCAATATTTGATCTTAATTATTCCCGATCCTTTCCCGGTCACGGATTCAATACCTCGGCCCAAATCGAAAAACGATTGTTAGATACATTTGTACGTTAAATTAACATGCGTGTGGAATCGATTAAAAAATATAAAGACATACGCAAACCAGTGCTCACAATATTGCCGTATATCGGGCTTTCAAAAACAATTTTAAAAATTATTTTTGCATGAATGGGTTAAAACCAGAAAAAGTATCCAACTAATATTATATTGGAATTAATTTGAATAGAACTATTCAATTTGACTTGCGCAACGTATCTGAAAAATAGAGCAACGAAGGCAACTCGAAAATGATATGTATACCTATATACATATACAAACATACCTTTAGAAAATTGTTGATGCCATGATTGTACTGTACAGAAATCTGGTTCGATTAAACCAGATCTGGCCCGATTAAACCAGATCTGGCTCGATTAAACCAGATCTGGCTCTATTAAACCAGATCTGGCCCGATTAAACCAGATCTTGTCAAATTGCATCTTTAAATCTTCTAATCTATTTTTTATATCTCTCCTTCGCTTCATTTGTTTTTTTCAATTCACATCTGTATTGCGTATCATTCGAAATCCAAACAATACCAACGCACTAACAATTAATATTGTAAGAGAAATCCGAGAATTTACGCTGGGTGGAAGCCACCGGAAGTCATGGCCATAAAAAACTAGAAATTTGTCAAAATTACAAGAAAAAATCACTTGGTTTATAGAATGTCAGTATACATGTATATATATATATAGTCCCATTGCAAACGCCATCTGTTGCTATCCACCTACGCCATGGTGAAACAATATCCTGTGTATTAATCTGTGTCGAGTGTGACATGTGGGTTTTTCTCTGTCCCTTTTCAACAACAAATATATATAATACATCTTGGCCGATCATATTCAAAATTAAAATGCAATTGTGTCACAAATGTTAAAGGGCGGTGGTCGTCGTTCAGTGCGTGCTCGAATTTCATGTAAACATACGATGTATTTTACACGCGTAGTATACATCGCTATGAGTCCCATATCAAACACGAGGCGGCGCGACGACCACCGCCCTTTAAAGCTAAAATAACAAAATCAAGCATTTCCAAGCAATCAAAAATCAAGCAATTTCGAAACCAGTCCCAGTTTTGCATAGACAAACTTGGCACATTGAATATAATAATACTTGGGTGCCGGGCTTGGATGCTAGGTCATTTTGTTTTTGTTGTTTAGATCGAATTCAAAATGGCTAACCGAGAACCCAATGCTGTTCCAGGGAAGTATCTCTGACTCGAACAAGTTTTGTTTATCATGAGATGTGTACACATGCACTTTTATAAGAACTTACACTGAAAACAGACGGGGACTTTGTCATGTAATGATTTGTTGTTATGGTTATGAATAATATACCATTTTCACTTAGACTAACTAGCGTTTATATCAGTGTCAGCACCCGGAACTCCTCCGATGCAGTCGCACCCGCCCAGTTTAAATGACAGGCTACCCCTGAATTCACTAGGCTTAAACCTTAAAATATGTTATCTCTTCCTGTTTGATTTCTGAAGCCGAGAAATGACAGTACTGTAAGTAGATGCATCTTCCAGCAACAGCACACGATTCACGTTTTAGAATTACTTTGAGCAAACCATCATATTTTATTAAATTCAACTTACCTCGAAGCTGAATAAGCAGACACAAAGCACACATAGTAAGGTGAAGTGAAACTAAAAATTGCTCTACCACGAACAAAACTTCAAGACAAACCTGTTGATGCGGCGTCAGCCATGAAAGTGAAAAAGGGCTCCATACGTCATTACGGCGCTCACACATCATTACATAATATGCTAAATTACACGGTTTCAGATGATTGTTACGTAATCCTAAGTTACGTAATAATTATAGTGTTGATGTAAACGTTCCTTGTGTTGATAACGGTACAAGGTTCAAGAAAAATGGGTGGTCGATATAGCGGTGAACCACTAACAAATGAAACAAATACATATGATGGTGAGGCAATTGAGTGGCATTTTCCACATTGAGTTGTTTTGGAGATTTGCATATTCATAGGGAATTAATTTAGCGCATCCGTAGCTACAGCGAAATAGGAGAAAATTAAATATATGATAACTAATACAGGTTGTGGCATTTTGGTCCTATTTTTCAGATTACTTTATACTGTGTTGTATATTTGTTGGTCTGGGACAAGTCTATCGTTTATAATTACGTGTCAATTACCATGTACTGAACGGTGTACACGACATCGTCATTCGATGCCAGCTGGTACAAAATACTAGTACACATAGTATAGTAAAGTAAAGCTAAAAATTGCACTGTGCGAACAAAACTCCACACGCACCTTTCAATGCGTCGTCAAGACAACACTGACACATTGATATGTGCCACGGGAACAAAACAGCATATGATTAGGCAGATTTTTACAACCTATTTGTAATTATGAGTGATCACGTGTGTGTGCAATATATATTTTCAATCAAAACAAAATAGTTCATGGACTGCTACATGTATTTAAACGCGGCTTCGACTGAGGTGGCGTCCTCAGCCTCACAGCAGAAGGATATATATATTAATAGTTTAAGCAAATGGTCGCTGAGATCTCGCTGGGAGCGAGAGGGTCACAAAATTTGAGTGCGTCCCTCAAATTGTGTCCTATTTTCTCTCGTCTACTGTTCCAAATATCATAGTTTTATATGTCAATAAAACGGTGGGTGCGATAACAGGAAGGAATTGAACACAATGAAATGCAAATACAAGTCTCGTGGTTCTTTCTTCTTAACGAGAACTCGGCGGCCATTCACGTCTAAAGTCTATTGACATTATCTAGTTCATAAAAATGTTGTGTCTGAATTTTAACAACGCAGTTTCACGTTTTTTTACGCTCGTTCTTAACAAAACACGGGTATTTTAACAATCGCGTTCGCCATTTTATGATGAAACATATATGGTGGTAGTGAAAAATTAGAAATGAGTTTCTTTTTTTTTAAAAGTATTTCTTTCAGGGTAAAAAAACACAAAAACAATTGCAGCCTTAGGGTAGTGACCTGTGTACAAATTAATTTACGTTGAATAATTGTAACTCCTACCATCATGATTCTTGTTGGAAACGAGCGTCTGGGGTGTCGTTAAATTGCAATATTTTATTTTGTTATTTTCGTCCTTTAACTAAAAACAATACTGTTTTGCAGAGAGTTGCTATATTTTAAAGCGGGGGGGGGTCATCACCTGTGCACGCGCGTGAATTGAGTCCCAAGCGACGATAACAACACACGGTAAACGCACAAAGGCTCATGGGTAAACGCTTGTTTGTAAACAATGACACGCCATGGCCATCTGACGCATGCGCAGGTCACGACTCCCCCGCTTTAAACGACGAACGGCTAGACACCGAAACAATTGTATATTTTAATGGCATTCCTTACATCCATCACGTTATTTTGACACTCTCGCGCAAGGGCGCGAATTATTAGATTTGTGTATTGCAATAGTTTATACGGTAGTGAAAGTATTGCGTCATACCTAGACTTTTGGTTCGAGTGTGATCATATTTGTCAGATTATATTCGATGAGAATTTCTCTCCCATAATACATTGCATTATTCTCATGAACATCAACAGTAAACGCAACACATCAATTCAGTTCGAACTTCTTTCGATAAAAAAAAATACGTTTTACACATATACGAGGCGAAATTATCCTTGATCAAACGGGATACACGAATTTTAAATTCCGGTATGTGAATTATTCTACTATAAACAATGAAATGTATTAAAACGACTATACACATTACTAACACGACACTTGGGGTTAATGCAATATGTAACGTAGATTTATACATGCTGGTACTGGAATCATGGTGCGCGCAGAACAAAGAACACGGCGGTAGTAGACGAGTACATTGTTGTACCATTGTGACAGTTGCACGCTTGGAATCTCGTGAAAAGCATCAACAACCGAATCGTGACTGCATTATTAAGATTTTGCTGACTCGAGCAGACAGCCAATAAAATTGTCATGTAGGTAATTAGTAATATTGCGTGTGAAATATCCTGCTATATATTCCGATTATAATGCAGTAGTGGATGTATATGGCCGTTATTATTCAAATGTAGAAATGTATTAGGCTTCAGAAATGAACAATCTATGAACCGCGACATCGCTGAATTATTTATGATTTGTTAAAAAATAATTGTTGATGTGATATGACAATCTAATATATATCACTACGTATCACTACATAACGCACCACTGCACGAGATTTTAGTGCGCGCATCTGAAGACAGCTGCAGAATACATGAATGGTTTAGTAGGCGCTCATTGCTGCAACATTCTGTACAAAAACACATTCATGCATTAATTCATTCATCCGTATTATAGCCGAGCATGGAAGGACTAGGACTACTACCTTCCATGAGCCGGGGAACCACCAAATTTATTTATACATTTTTATTCGCCCAGTAGCTTTATAATCTACTTATTTTAATAGGTTTATGTAGTTGTTAGCACGTTAATCAAGATAAACCTTTTATACTTTATAAGTATTTTTTATTATTTATGAAAATTTCAGCGCTCTATCATAAATTGAACATACTTAAAACAGTAGGCAAAATAAATTAAATTAAATTAACAACAACTGCATTGTTATGATGACTAAATTTGCATATTTGCATGTATTTTAAATAATTAATAACTCACACAGTCGAGTACATGTATAATATAATTTTAGAACATTTTTAGATGCTTACCAATCATCTACAATTTACTGGATATCAAAACAATGTTTAGAGAATATTTTGTGACCATTTCTATTGATATGCAAATTAGTGTAATTTTTGTTTTAATTCTGACATCAAATGAGTATTTTTCAGTAGGTACTCATCAGATTTTTTTTAAAGAGATTGTAATGTAGTATATATGAACAATACCCGGTTGGAGATGTTTGTTGGATTTATGCGTTCCGAAAGATTTTACTATCTGAATGTAAAAACGAACAAAATATTCTGGTGAAAATGCAAACTAGACAATTAAAAGAAAAATAGTTATGCAAAATCTCTGTGGCTGTTTTGTTTCTTAGTCTTATTCTACATTTATCAAGAAATAAAATATGATATAAATTTTTTTCACAGAACTCATTTGGATCTTCAAAAAAAATATTTCACTTAGCAGTCACATGACCACACGAAGGATGCATCTAACGTAACATCGATTTTTTATTTAGTGTGAATTATAAGCTTTCATAAAGTATAAAAATCTGATATCATATAGTTCTATAACAAATACAAAATGTGAACTTCTATTAAACTCCCACTACTTCCTTAATTTAAAAGTTAATTTATTCATACAATGCGGGACAATAAATAGTTAAAATACTAAGTATACACTAATAAATTGCGAATAGATCATCACTATCTCAAACTACTTCTTTTCTTGTACAGTCTGTCACATTCACGTGGACAATGGAGGCGGCATAACAGGAAGGGTAACGCGTATTGTAACTTCTTATCGGTGTCATGATAGTGCCGCTGCATTACCCGCTCCTTAACCATGGTTCGTGCGTAATGTGTTATTTTTACTACGACAGACCTGATGGTATATTTAGGAATGATTTCTGCGTAGTATTTATTTTTCTCGCCATGATTAAGTATTAATCACTGCTGCTATTTTAATGAGAATATCTCATAATTTCTGAATACAAGTTTAGAGTTATCATCAAATGCGTTGGTGATTTTAAAAGAAAATATTCAAAGATTTTACTTTACATATGACCCACTCAGTACGATCATGGTTTCCATGGTAACACCCCTTGGGTTAGATATCGGGTAGTGTCTGATTTCATTTTCCCCATGTATAGCCTTCTAATCGCACAAAACTGAAATGCCAAATATCGAGTCTTTCACCATGGCAACACACATTTAGTTCTAGTCGATTAAAATGAATATTATTTTCACTGGCAATTTCCGAAAATAATACATACTTACAAAAATACAAACTAGTTATAGTGACCCCATCTTCAGAAAACTTGACCTCGCTTTTTCGACAGCCGGTGTCTTAAATCTAATATTCTATGACAGTCAAGTGGGAACAAATAATCTTGCGAACTGAGAGTGAGCAAATCGAACGCGACCTTGAACTTAATAGCAGGTCATGATGATTTCAGAAATGACATAAATGCTGTGCGGTATGCGACATTCTAGGACATCACATTTTGAGGTTTTCGTTTTTGCTATTGTGAAAAACACGTGACAAAAAAAAAACAGTCTGATACATACATGCATACGTAAATAGATTGCCTTAGGGGTGAGATGGTGACATCATCAACAAAGTAGACATCTTTTGAATTTACAACCTCGTGCTATTTTCACTGACTTGGTCACATTGTAGTCGCCGGTATATCAATTGATCACGTGTACTAAACCACGTGTCATAAATTTGAAGATATCATGTTCATATAAACGATAAAGTTATAATATACTAGTATATGGATTAAAAGAATTATTTTTATGCATAGTCTGTTCGCACTAATTACGTCCCATCGGTTATAACCGCCCATATGCATCTAATTAGTGTGGATTCAATCAGTTAGATACCCTACACATTATAATATCAATATTTTAAGTATTTACTAGTAACTGTTATTATGTGAATACTGTGTGTGATATGACGGACACAACCACACAAGTGTCAAACTCTTGTTTTTGCCGATATCTACAACATTGAATAATACATTATTGCATTTACTTACTCAAGTTGCTTCCAAAACCTTAGTCAAAATATTTAAAAACAAACGATTTATTATAAAATGTCCTCCCATATTTGATACACGTGTTATTGTTTGTAGCAGCGTGAGAGAGTGATTTGCATGATTCCCGTCATGACGATTTCAATCTCAATTTTTTTTATACATTTACTCATAAATATCGTGCAACTTTGTGCAACCCAGCACCACGTTTTGCCGAATTATGGCCAAGCGTATAGTTGACTCGGCAATTGGTTTAATCATTAAGTGACAGTAGACACGTTTTGATGCATGGCCTTGCCCGCACAATGCATGACATGGAACATACAGCACACAGTACAGTGCCGATCACGGTAAATTTGAAAAGGGTTTGTAGCGACTGAGATACAGTATCATACATCGGGAGCGACGTGTTCGGCGTGGAATATGCCAGTAATATATACTCTTTAAAACTTACCTTTCCCTTTCAAAAATGGCCGTCTTTCTCGTTTGCAGTGCGCGTGGCACTGGTAATACTGTACGTCGCCTAAAGGTATAGCCGTATAGTGTCATGTAGTGATAGTCAGTGATACACACTGCACCAGTAATATACAGACGACTATTCACAGCCAAGCCTCGTCATTCCAGTGATGATATCATCTAAAATTCGTCACTGTCTGATTCGTATTTTACGTGCAATTCAAGGCCTTCGTGGTTGGAAGCTCATTAACAATTGTGTCCACGTTTAACCCAGTAGACCATCCCCCAGGGATTAACAACTCATCGACTGCATATTTGGGTTTTTTATTCTAATAATATTGAGCTAAACTTATATTATTATTATTATTATCTGTTTATTTGTTTCGTTTTTAATCAAAACTCAAGAACACAACGCAAATCACATTCGGCAATAGATAGGGCACCTAACAGATATACTGGCGAGTGAAACAATTGGCAATTGAAATAAGAGATACGCATGCGCAGGAGAACAGCTGTGAAATTGGGAAATATTCAATTAGTATTTGTAACTAGTACGTGAGACCAAAGACTATAGTCTTTGGTGAGACAGAACGCGATGCCGATTTTGTAATTGTACATAGGTACAAAATGGTTGTTTTTGACACGAACAAAAATAAGATACTCGTTATTACTACAGATGCAACACAGATACTACTGTCAGTATTACACGTATTACATACATAATACTCTGACGTAAACATGTCACGTACGTCTTTCCAGGGTCAGTCACGTGGCATATTGATGATTCTCTATTCATAGACAGGAAATCGGCGAATGAAGACACGTAGACTAATTTTTTAATATCAATGTAATCATCTATTTCCACTCAAGTTTTTGCTTTAATTAAAACACATAACCACACAGGACAGATATTTATTTATTTATATATTTATATTTTTACATATTTATATATTTATTTATTTAAACCGACAACCAACACAATCTTACATTAGCGCCTATTTTATTTTGTATGCTAAATCACTTACACTAACAAATAACTCAGCCATGCGACCGTGACCTGGGAAACATGCATAATGTATTAATTATTTTAATATTCGTCAACAAGATATTGAAGTGTCAGTGTAGATTTATTTCGTGAGATGAAATATAAACAAGACGCACAAAATATAAAAACTAGTATATGACTGCCTTATGTATTATACGGCTTGTATTTTTTATGTCATACATTTTATTTTATTTTATTTATTTTAACTATCGCCACATATTATTTTACCAGCAAATAAATAATAAATCAAAATTAAATTATATAAAAACAAAATAAAAAATATATCATAGACATTTTCTATGGTTTTCTATGATCGCCACCAATACTCATATTGTAATATATGCATATTTAGTTGTTCATTCTGTGAAACAACATTTTGAAATATTTAGACATTTCCTGATTAAACGCTTTACATGTGAAACCGACAAAACTTTGTACATAATGTATTCAGTGACCCCAAAATTTCTGTGATATGAAATATCGCATATTATGCAAATGAGGAATATGACGTCATTATACTTTCAATGTGAGTGGAGCCGCGTATAATGAGAACTCTTATACATACACTTAGCCCGCGGCACTACTATTACCTCTGCGCTAAAAAGCTATTTACAAAATGAATAAATAAATAATAAGATATTATCAATAAATGAATAAATAACACAGACTGAATTAATAAATAAATGTGGTGTCTGATAGAGATGAGACTTTAAACATTAATTTGGAAAATCACATATTAAAAAAAATGGAAACTGTTTTAATGTGTTTGTACATGTATTTGAAGAAACGGACACATAGTTTTACTTTCTATCATATACATGTATAACAATACCCGTCATGCCACATCTCTCTATCCAATCGTAACATCGCATTGCCATATTACCCACAAATCCCCACGCCAATAGACTCCTTATTATTACTTTTCCACCACCTCGGTTCTGATATCAGCCGAAACGTAGCAATTGAAAAGAATAATTATTAGTGCCCAGTACTTTTATTTTTACACGTTTAGGTAAAGTTTCATACTACCGTAGTGTTATTATAGTAGAAAAATGGGGAAATTTAATTAAAAAATATAGTACTGATTAATTTATTTGAATTTTCAGCCTTCGTGTGACTGTACATTGGCCGCCCGTGGAAGAAACTGAAATAAATCTCATCGTCGAACTGGCTCAAATGTAAAAATCACAACAACGATTGAAAAAAACCGCTACTAGTATATAAAAAAAGAATATATGACAAATTAATAACCAAATCATTCATCTAATGATCATAATTGTCCTTTGCAGAGAAAATAACAGGATTGAAACCTTGTCACCGACAACTCGAAACTGAGTCATTGTCAGATGCACTAATATAGACGAGTATTATTAACTCAAATGTAACTATTAAACAAAACTCAAAAAATATTTCAGAGCGATGTTAACGTTCGGAGCATAAAATGGAGTGTAGATTTTAATGCCAGAATAAAAGTTAGTATAAATAGGTGAATATACATCATAAAAACCTATAGGTGAAAAGAGTAGTAGTTGATAGTTGAACTGTTTTATATTTATCTCGAATAGTCGATTGGCCTAGATTTCCAAGTATTTTTTTCAATTATCCATTTTGTAAATTTTTGATGAGTTAATGATGAATAAATAAAGTAAATTATTCTTCTAGTCATCACAAAGATGGTAATATAACCCCTTAATTTACTTATTTGTTACGTCGATCCACGGACATACCGGGTTTAAAACGATGGTATGAAGGTAAGTTCCAGACATCTCGCGGTAATCTGCGATTCATCTCCTTAAGTTGCGGAAAGGATCCTGTAATGTTATGTGTACTGATGCCAGGAACAGGACATGGTAACGTATATTCCCAACACTCAGTAAATGTCACGAGCTCGACAAGTTGACAGTATGTTTTACTGCTGAGTGCGAGTGAATCCTACCTTGGGGGCGCTTTGTCTATCGCAGCCGACGATACAGGGGCTTGTCAACTGATGGTGAATCCTCCACCAGGGGAATCGCACTAGAGGAATCGCTGTCAGTTGACAAGTCTCTTTGGCCGATGGCGGGATGCTGAATGGGAACGCTAACCACATTGAGATATGGCGAGCACTGTATTTGTAATATGTACACGATCAATATACACAATGTTGCACTTTGGTTTTAAAAATCATGACTGTCAAAGGGTTAGTCATGGTCCTATCGTCACCATTTAGTGAAACCTATTTTTGGTTGTCTGAGGTAAAACGTAGTACATATAGTCGTCTCATGGTTGATGTCAATTGCTCCCTCTGCCGACATCTATGTTGCTGTCGTTGGAGGCGCACGTGACATAAGATAAAATCCAGCTGCATCGTGTTTGAATACTAGGAATTTATATTTTATATTTTTTGATTAATTAATATAACATTTATTTCGCTTTGTTTTTTTCAGATAGCATTGAGGATATGTTTGAAAGATGAAGTTATTTGTATTAAATAGAATCATATTATAAATTTGAATGAGATGTTAATGAGTTCAGCTCTTTTTAAAATTCGAGAAAATTATCATAGTGTATAGTACTTAAAAACCATGGACACTTGATGCAGGAAATTTGTGATCTAATATGAACATTACCAGCCCACCCCTTTTGTTGCATTTCACTTATCCATGACTAAATACATATGATATGATTTACGTGTACATCACTATAGATGTGTAAAGTTAAGTATGGCTGAATCATCACATTTGATAGACTTTTACCTAACACTCAGATATAGGTAAGGTAGAGAGTCTTTTAAGTATACAGCGGGCAATGGTGAGCACTGCCTCAAACTACTATTAAATTCAATATGGTACCAGGGGTATATAGAGTGATGCTACTTGTAATAGCTTAATTATGATTTGTGCGCCAACATTCAAGATAAAGCAGTATTAAACAAACAAAAATATAAAAATTATTCAAACACACCTTTGAGAGAGATAGATGGGTTGAATGCTGTTTCCATGGAAAGCTCTAAATTTTTCATTTAAGCCATCACGTTCAGTAAAAGCAGCCGGGCTACTCAACGATGTCATATGTCTCTGTAAGTAGACAGAAAAAGGAGAAACACACAAAGAGCAACTATGTAACAGCAGAATTGTCATTGTTGTGGTGTTTGCTAGAATTTAATTATCACCTGTGTAGTTCATGCAATCAGTTCAGATTTTTGTTTACATCTGGTTCATACATACCAGTACAATAGAAATGTGATTGATTAGGACACTTTGAGATGTGCTGCTGGTATACACAGGAAATGAGCACTTTTGTACTCAGTGAGTAAGATAAACATAAATAAATATAAATATTTATCAACTGAATAAACATAAATAGAATACAAACATACGTTCAATGCATTTTATTTCCACCAGAGAAAAGTAGAATACAAAGTTCCATAAATATAAATACACAAAACTTGTAGTTCTCAACATACTAGAAAATTAAATTAAAAAGAAAAAAAAAACACGACAGCATTTTTATAAATTATATCAACTTTCTATGTAAACAACATACATTACATTTTACAAATAGGTTGAAAGGCATGCTTTATTTAAGAAATACTGCTTTACAAAATGATTAAATTGCAGTAGTATACATTTCAAGTGAAATGCTAACTTAAAATAAGTTTGTTTTTGACAGTAAATTTGTCAGTCCCTGGTGAAAAGTGCCATGTCAGTTTCACCAATGGCACTGTGCATCACTGAGACCCAGGGCATCCCAGCAACTAAAATATACCTTTGATAACCGATGTTGCTTATAAACAAGTTGATGAGAAAGTATGTTCACATACACAATTATCATTTACTAGTGAAACACAAGGAAGACCAAAAAGTAGGACATAGTTAAATAAAAAAAAAAGAAGAAGATGACAACTACTTTATCAACCTGAGTTTCATTTTTGTACTTTTTGCTTTTTATTTTGTCTCACAAATTATACAAACTGGAAGCACCTTTTATTTGATTAAACTCAAAGTGATGCAATGGGAAATATTTCTGCTCATTATATTCACAAGTTTGTATACTTCCAAATACATGTATGGTATTAATTTGTATAAATCACCCACAATGCATTTACGACTACAGTGCACAATGACACTGGACATTTATTTCATACAGAAATATTTTGTGTATATTACCTTCAATCACAATCTTTTCACTTGCTGTTTATGTAAGTTACTATTGATTTTTTTTTTTAAATAAAAGGCTCAAAGACAAAATTACAAATTATGTTTTGATGATTCAAGATCAATAAGGTTTTTTTTAATAAACATATTTACCCACTACTAATCAACTTTATATAATTTAATAAAAGTTGGAGTGGCATAAATAATCAAAATATTTGATTTATCTAGCACAAGAGCTTTGATTTTAGAGGCAAACAAAAAAATAAAATAAATAAATTAACAAAATAACTGAATAAATACAAGAAGTTATTGTAAATTAGAATACTGTGTATAATGAAGGTTTACAGAAATGCAACAAAGAAGCATCTACACTGAAATGCTGGTCAACCAATTTCAAACGATATCCAGATGGTGTGATTTGTACTTCATTCCATCTAGCTGGACAAAACCTTGAAAATATGCATTTAATTCTGATCGCTTTTTCACTTAAAAAAAAAAACTGCCATTTTAACTCACAGGGAAATGCTGACAGCAGTGATAACAAAGAAATGACAAATATTGTAATACTTTCAGAAATAATATATACAATACAACCAATATTCTATGGTTATCATGCATTGGGCAAGGTACTGCATCGTTTATCAAATTGTCTATATTCATTAAGCCCTAAATAAATACTCTTTTTAAGTTAACATTCAACATCACAGACAATTTCAAACTAAACGACAAAAGTTCAATGTCATATACTGAGAGTGCCCTGTGTTTTCTAGCACCAAAGAGCTGTAACAGTTTGCCAGTATTTGTAGATACATGCAGGAAAAGGAAAGCACTCTCAAAGAATGCAACGAGTATTCAAAACCAACTATACACACATTTTTCGGTGAATATTTATAATAAGTATATACAATTAAAAGTAACTAATTTAATATTAAAAATGTTTCAAAGTAAAAAAGAAATATGTCTAGCTAAAGTAAGTAGCAAGACTTGATGGCAACCATGTCAAGACTGTCAAACAGGGTCTATGCAAATGTCTACTGCATGAAGATTGTTCTTCTTATCATCCACACATTATTTTTTTTCTTCAAATAAAATTTTTACAGTTGCACCGATTAGTGGCAGTGTCCATTTGCAAATCAGTTTAGGTCTTTTCCTTTGGGAATATAATTTAAAAATGTTCCTCCATTCTTAGTAAATACTATCTGCGCATGATATACATTTTTGTATGCACTGCATAAATGGAAGTCATATCGACAAGAATTTATTAATGATGTCACACAAATAATATCCAATGGGATTTTTTAAAAACTTCTCCAGGTAGATCACAGCCAATTCCATGTCAAATAACATTTAGGAGGACTTCATACCAATAATGATATGGTACAGTGTAAATATCGCAAATCACTGCAAGTTATCCAACAGACTGTATGACAGATTGATCAAATAACATATTAAACACACATTGATGAGATCCTTGAATTGCATAACTATTGATGTTCATTGCTTTGTTTCATCAAATTATTCAGTTATTCAGAAGCAATCCACACTATGACCTGGTTTGTTCACATTTCCGAGATTTCAAAGAGTCAGTTCAGTCCTTGTTCATTCAGCAACATAAACCATTGTAGGAAGATTGCTGTCTATCCAAGTAGACTAATCGTTTTTGAACAGATGAATGATCTGAAATGTAGAGAAAAGTAACATTATTATATATTGTGATTGGTATCAACAGAATTCTTAAATAAAGATCTCAACTTTATAATACATCAGAAAGCATTCTATTTGTCACTTGTATCTAATACTGTAAAATACTTTATTTTCGCTTTTTTCGCTGAAGGAATGTGGTTCAGTGAAAATAAAATCCAGCGAATATAATTTTTTTCCTATATTTTACATTCAACTTGTCAAAAATCAATGAAAATAAATTCCATACAAAAAAAACCAAAAAGCCTTTTCAGTGAAAATTAATTCCAGCTAAAATAAAGTATTTTACAGTATTGTCATAATTGAGTCTTGTTTTCTTAAACATTGCACATGCTATTCAGTTTAAACACAATATGGCAGCAAGCAATGTACCATCGCCCATGGTCATATTCTTATACTTTAACCACCTTCCGTAATAAATGTGTCTGCTCAAGTTTTTTTTTCAATATTAATAAATTTGACAACTGTTTTTATTTACTGATTTCAACAGGATTTCAGTTTGTACATCAATGAGCTCACAATCTTAGCTGTCACTTTTGCCGCTGAAACCATACTTTTAAGTATCACTATGATTTTGTTGCGACAAGGCTTTATCTATGACAGACCCCAAAATATATACTGGTTTGGTCCAATCATCTGTGAATGTGCAACAGTTAGAGCAGTCATCTACAATTGGTTGCTATGGAAACAATCTAATTGGAGAGGGACACACTATGAGGACATGCACAGTTATAATACTTTCCTTGTAAAGTTTACAAGATATAATACTAATAATATTAATGTAAACTTACATCTCATTAGACGATCTTTATCATGGTCATTGTTTACACTCATTGATAGTCCCATCAGAAGTGCGCTTGCATAGAGGTACCTATGAGTACACTGAAATATAAAATGTACATAGTTGGTACTCAATAAAATAAACTCTATGTATCTCCTCATTCTCTTTTCATTACATATTTTCATACATCCTTATTTTGTTCAGCATACCATGTACCCCAAACTGCAACAATCAGACTCACCCAGAAACTTACTTTCTCCAAAGATAACTCATGAAAATAATGGACACTGATGGACATAAACCAGTTACTGTATATTAAAAGTGAACTTGATGAAAATAATATACTAATGTATACTGTATTTTTTCTATTAGAAGTGCATCTCTAAAGAAAGCACATGTAAACCGAAAATTGCATTTGTTGTATAATTTATGTAAGTTCATGCGCTATTAACAGATCAAATTAAACTTTGAGTTATTGTGACTAAAAAAACTGTTGACAAAACACGGAATCGGGATACTTACCTCCTGTGGGTTTCCAACAAGTTCATCTAAAGCAGCATTTTGGCAGAGATCTATAGCATAGTCATACATCATCTTTTCAGCCTTGATATCAGCCATCTCTGACGCTGATAATCTAGGCACACCTTGTAGCTTTAGTTCCTTACATTTGGCAAGACATTCACGGTATCTGTTGTTCAAACTTTGTGTTACTGCAAATTAGAAAATGCACTATTTAATTAAACTGAACAGATGAAACAGATTTTTTAGTTAAATCTAACCACATAAAGATGAATATTGTTTTAGACAAAACTGCATGGGCAAGGTTACCCTACACAAAGCTAATGTTACATGAAATGCAATGTGAAAACTAAAGATTGAATAGTCGCTATTACGGTAAAATCGGTCACGTGATATGAAAATATGACACACAACGCAAACTATTATGGGAAATTACACATCAAATAACTAGCGAGAGGTCATCTTTTTTTACTTGCAAGTGATTTAATGTACAACATTGGCACAGAGCATATATACTATGCTTTCAGTACACACATTTTGTTGATGGCTGTTACGAATAGCACTAATGACACAAAAAGTGTTTTATTAAAAATAAAAATTAAAGAAAAAAAATCCATAGTTACAGCTACTGCTGCTTTAAAACAATTCTAACAATAATATCAAAATATGGAAATTCCATTCTAGACTATTATAAGTAGAGAATGCTGAGTGTTAACTGAATATATAGTGCACATTTCACATGACAGGGCTGGGTGACCTTGCTATTATAATATCAATATGGCAATGCAATATACACACATGTCAACCAGGCAAGGTCAAACAAAACTCGCATAAAGTTGGAATATTTCTTCCAAATATTTGATGTTGAACTAATAGTGTAACCAATATTAAAAAAGATTTTAAAGGAATACTGTTGAATCTGATTTCATACAAGAGTGCACACTGTAATGACATACGTATGAACACAAAGCAAAACACCTGTCAATATGTTTAATACTACATGTATATATATATATACACAGACATATTAGGCATCCATCATAACAAAGGTCGAGGTATTATAATACTCTTAGGGATTGGTCAGTTACTTCGGCCTAGGGGGGGTCGGCAGATTCCATTTTGCCAGCTGTAAATCTCAGTTGACCCACCCCCTATCAAATAAAAATCAAAGAAAGCTTAGAAAGAACTCCCATGTGCTGAGAGTATTGGAGACACATTAAATATAATTCGAAATTACTTAGCTGAAAACTAATTATGCAAATCAGAAAATTAATATGACCAGATTTGAGTGTAAAACTAATGAGGTCT